GCTATGCGATCGGCCCCTGATCGGGATCGGCCCCTGAATGGGCGATTGCGAACCTCGGGAACTTCGGTAGATTGTTTTTTTGAATTATTGTTGTTGTTTAGAGCACTTTCCCAATAGGACGTGGCGGCCACCGCCTTTCTGCCCATAGATAGATAGATAGATATCCTGACAAGATGCACGCATGCTTCTTTCCACCCCCGGCGGCTTCTTGTTTCAGTTACCGGCTTTGTGGTGGTAGGTAATCATAAACAGGTAGATTTGTAGGTAAATTACAGTTAATACTAGTGGTAGATGGTGTTCGATGAGATGTTTCGGTTTACGCATGTGAAGCCTCATTCGCTGTCCAACTCCTGCTGCTGTGTTGTGTTGTGCTGTGTTGTTTTGTGTCCAAACTTTGAACTATGTCGGAAATACGATGTTTCGATGTTAGTGGGCATTAGTAGCGTCTGAAGGAAGCCGCGGCTGGAATTCACCGCGCGCTGTGGGGTCAACCGCCAGCTTTACACAGCTTTTTGGACGTGGCATTCGCGTTCAGCTGTAGCGCTGGTTTACGGTGGCGGAAGAAACTAATGCTAGCTAGGCTGCTTGTGAACGGCACGTTGATGAATGACGTTTTAGATCCGCCGTTGCGGCCGCCCGTATGTGCGTTGCTGAGCTGAGGGCCGCACTCGTTGGTCAAGATGAAAACCGATCTACATGAACTAGGTGCCTCTTCCTGCGGCTGCTCTTTATGAGTTGTCCCTTAGAAATGTATAGCAAGTTGGAGCCTGTGCGCCTGCAAGTGCGCGGGTTGTTGGCCCTGCCCTACCTTTTAGATTTCATCCAACCTGGAACCCCATCCCCTCCGTTACATAGCCCGACAATCCAGCAGGGTTGTGGATCGGTTGATCAATGATGTTTTCCTTTCTAGTTAGGCCTGTTTAGTTTTCCGTTTTGGGTCGTCTTGTGTTGGTTTCGGCCTGTCAACGTGTGCTTTACCTAAAGGCGCGTACGAAGAAAGGGCCAACCGGCGCGTGAACTTCAGCGAGTGGGCATGCTCCAGCTGTGCGCGGCACCAGTCGCAGAGTCACAGGTACTGTTGCTCGCTTGCGGAGGCCTTGAGCCCTAGGACCGAGCGATGGTCATTTATAGCGGGGTTAAATCCGCCTGCCACGATTTTTTTTCCTTTCAGGTTTCCAGAGTTGGACTCTAGCTAGAAGCTGCTGTGTGCTGTGTGTGTGCGTGTGCGTGTGTGGTGGCGCAAAAGCGCCGTACCAATTCATCGGGGCAGACGTGTGCTGGTGTTGACTTTGAGATGGCAGAAGGTAGTGGAGGGTAATATGAACCCTCTACCTAGGTTTTACATAGTTAAGTGAGGCCGGTATGGCTATTTATATGTAATGTTAACTTTTAGAATTGAATGCACCTGAATGCGCGCCTGTGCACGGCAACGTTCGCGGCGAGCCATGCTCTCTACTCCCGTCATGAAGACCATGAGAACCCATGCAAAGGTTCCAAGCCAAGCAGCCATCGACGGTCGTACATGGTACGGCAGATGGTTTTAACGTTCCAGGAAACACGTGGAAAGGACTACAGACCTTCTGTAAGCTTGTGGTCACCCCGCCGCCAAATGGGATGCCCAGCCTATAATGAAATCCGTGCTGAAGAGGGATTCGATCATCAGAGAATTTTGGAGGCCATGAAATGGGAGCCAGTATGTCTGGCGAGGATGTTGGAACGTATGTGGGCTCACCGAAACTCAGTTATCCCTTTTGGACGCTAGTCTTGGCTGATGTGCGGTGTTTCTGTTCTCCGTGGCTTTTAGGCGTTGAGTGTTGCCCTTGGGCCTTCGGCTCGTATGGGTAGTTTTACAGGTATGGGGTCACGCACCCCCAACCATGTAACACACACACAAAAAAAATGGGATGAACAGCCGAAGACGAAGCAAACGGGCGAAATGGCAACTATGGAGCAACGAAGACTTTCAGCAAAAAACCTAATTGCTCCTGGCTGCCCTTGGCTGGTTGGGTGCTGCCTGGTCGAGGTGCTGCCAGAGCTGCCGTGGAAGGAAGGACGGAGGACGGAGGACGGAGGACGGAGGGATGGGACGGGACAGTTCAGCGATGGAAAGCCCGAGCTGGTGGTGGGATTGAGGGGGTGCATAAGTGTCAGTTGGGGCACGTAGGTGCCGTACGTGGTGGTGGTGGTGGTGGTGTTTAAATAACTTGAGCTGGAGCTTGGAGCCATCTCGATGCTCTGAGTGCTTTAGCCCTCGTGAGATTCCGGGTGCAAACACAGGAACCACCCCCATGGGATTTTGCCGTGTGTCCATAAATATGTATGTCTGTTGGGAATACTCTGTTACGTAATATGGTGCTTAAGCGCCCGAAAAACTCTACCACATTTAGATGGGTCGGTAGGGCAGGTTCGGCTGGCGGGCTGGCTGGCGGAGATGTGTATGTCTACATCGCATGCGGCACCTTCGCGCCCTATACGAGCGATTATCGTGCACGGAAGGAAAGGTTACAGCAAGACTACGTAGAGGTCTCCAAGCGTCCTGAAGAGACCCATGAAGAAAATGCATGAACCTAACGCGTCCATGAAGGCACCTTCAGACAGATCGTGGCGGTCAACAAGGCGGCGAAATATTGCGGACCACTTACTCATGCCACGTCATTGCTCCCTTTTCAATTTCGGGGCCCGTTGGGGCTGCAACGTAACAGCCAACTCACGTATCAAGTCAGCAACTGAGTAAATGCATATGTGGAATTCGTTATTATGAGCTCTGGGAGCCTGCGGGCCGTTGAATCACCTGCCGTCGGGCGCTGCTGGGTACCGGGCAGTTCAAGTGAGGAGCAACAGCCGCGAAACGACAACCCGAGCCACAGATCGGCAAGTGCGTGATGTCGCGGCGAAAGCAACAAAGCAGCACGACATGAGGGTTATAAGCGTAAAGCAGCAGGTGTGCGATGCAAAATGGCCTGGGAAGATTTCGCGCCCGCATGCGATACTCGACTTTGTCGCGCCAAATCGGCGGCGGACGAACGCATACATGCGTGCGGAGATACCGGGAATGCCCTTCTTTGTTTCCGAAAATAAACAGGTAAACATAATAACATCTAAATTTTCCTAATCTGTGATCTAAGTTGTGATCTCGGCGCAGTCGGTGCCGGCCCAGCAAACTCTTCCAAGGGTTGAGAGTCCCAGGTTGGAAAGCGGCAGACCTTACTAAATAAAAACAGAGGTAGGGTTTCACGGGCTTTTACCTGCTCGAGTTTCCCACCTCGGCTTCGCGGCCAATTCCACGTACCTGTACCATCTTCGTTTGACGTAAAAACGTCCAACGGACAGTACTACAACAAAGACAAACACACCAGACACTGCATAGAGTGTGCCTTCTCTGACCTTGCTTGTATGCAAAATAATAATATGGAAACTGAAGTACCATTTTGAAGTCGGAGGATTAACGGAAATTACATGCTAACCGTGGGAGCGCAAGGGAAGTGCCCCTTAACACGTCATTGAAATAGCAATGACTGTAGATGGAGTCTTGGCCTGCAAGGTGATGTCTCTTTTCAAATTGCTGTTTGGTTACCTCCTGCCGCTGCCTTGCAGCTTCGTCTTTACCTGGTTCAAACCCGAATTTCTCACCAAATATCGTTCAATGAAATCATTACTGAGGTTATTTTATATCGTTTCCTTATCGCTGGTCAGGATTACCCAATAAACTTGCGAACGTCGATGCTTTCAGTGGCGACTCCTAGCCCGGGCAGCTGCGCATCCACCAGCGCTTTCTATTTCGGGGCCTCAACATCAAGCAGCTGCCTCACATGTACAGAAGTAGATGCTTTTGATGCCGATTTGCGTGATGTCGACGCCTTCTGCGAAGAAACACCAGAGCTCTGCGGAAGCTGCACAAACGCTCTCCGTTTTGAAGGCCTCCCCTCCGAAAAACAAGTTGCTTCATCACCAGAGCTGTGTCGTCTCATCAGGTGCGTGGACTCTGCCTCACTTTACCTCCCAGACGCCGTGGAGCTAGTAGCGCAGTTTTTTCGCAACCGTCCTACCTAGCTCATGAGCCAGGCGCCAACTTCGGCTACCCTGCCGCTTGTCCTGCATCGCTGTGGTTCAGCAAAGCGAACCTGCGCGCGAGTCACGCAGAGCCATGCTGCTAAGCGCTTCTTCTGGCTTCACTTTGTGTCGCACAAGCTGAGGAAGAACTCCTTCTCACTCTCCCAGAATGATCGTTTCGTCTGCGCGGCAATTTACACCAATGGAGATTTCTCTTCCCCGAACAAATCGAATCAGTATAGCACCCAGCGGAAAAGGCACCCGGATTTTAGCAACGAAACGTTTGGGGCTGCACCAAGACGTAGCTCGCAGCTACGTTGCAAGGCCTGGCAGTCACATGTACACACCTTCGATATCATCCCAATCTCTTTTAAGTCATGAAGCAGAGCTTGCGGCAACCTGCCACAATTTTCCCTTTCGCTACGAACGAAGTTCATGATTGCAGCAACCGCCCGCAAGCTCGCTTCCATATGCACCGGAATACTCTCGGGCGTGTCGCCTTTGCTCCTAACCGCGTGGGCGACGGGACACGCTTTGATCTTGAGAGCCATTCGCCTCCTATGTCATGCTACTGCTGATGCTTTCTCTAACTGTGGTTATTCCGGCTGATGCTTCTTGTTGTTTCTGCTCACTTTAGGATTGACCTGGACAAACAGCGTGACGCTGCAAGGACGAAAATGCCCGCACCCCTTCCGCTTGCGTCTGATGCACCAAGAGGTTTCGGAGCCGACGCGATATCCACAATTCGCCGTCTTCCCGCTCAACATCGGGCCCTGATGGTGGGCTGGATGCGCCAGGTGTCCAGTGCTCTCCGACTTCAGCTGTCTACACTTTTCACCGCAACGTCAATATTGGATCGTTTCGTGGCGGTTTCGGAGGTACGGCATTCGTGTACGACATGGGATAACAGCCCGGTGTTGAAAGCTGTGCAACGGAGGTGCTTTATTGCGAGAGGGGGCATCTGAGATTGCGATGAATGGGTTGTTGGAAAGCCCGAGGTCGCGAGGAAAACCTGAGAAGTCGGAGAGGATCTATCTAACTGCTCACCTAAGTGATAGGCGGCGATGATATGCGGTCTTGTTGGTAGGGTTACTCAGCAAGATGAATATATCTGTTTTGCCACTCCACTGTGCAGGCTCTGCCACCTGACGGCCTCCTGCAACTGCTGGCATTGACCTCCATGTCCATCGCGGTCAAATACAACGAGGTACGATCCGTTAGAGCCGTACTGTTGTACGAATGTGTTTTTCTCTTTTCCAATCCTTTACCCTGTTTGTCTGTCCATCTATCTCTGTCTGCATGGCTGCCCTTGTATTTCCGTTACGCGGCCCTGCTCACGTAACCACGTGTAGCACATCAGTCGTTGCAGGCGACCGTGCTGGGGTAGGTTCTTCCCGACCAAACTTATCGGGCCCAGTCCCTGCCTTCTCCTGCTACCTCCCACCACCCCGCCAACCCCTCGACCTCCTGCATTTGACCCCGTCCAGGTTGGCCAGGTAGCCCCAACCGTGTGGTTGGGATTGGCAGTCGACCCCATGGGGCAGCGCCTCTACACGGTACGGCAGCTGACTGAGAGATGCCGTACGGGCTGCGAGGGTTGACAGCGCGTGCACACGTAGGGCAGAGTATCGCTTGACTTTGGGTTTCATCCCGGCTTTTTACCTACCTACAGCCATGACTTGTCACACGTCGTACACATGTACGTCGGTATACGTCCACATGTGCATATGTACGTGCAGAATGACATATTCCGCGGCTGTATGTATGTCCACATGTGTACGTACGGCACATGTGTTCCTGCCTCGCTCTTCCATGTCACCCTTATCGTTCCCACGGGCCTTTACACACGCATCAGGCAAAAGTGCGGTGTGCGGCTCCTGCAACCATTTCCCTAGAACAGCCTTAAAACCGCTGTGCACCAAAGACGCACTAAAATCTCCAAAACCTCCAAAACCGTAAAACCTCACTGCAGCCGCGAGACCTCCAGCGCTATGAGTTTACGCTGTTGCAAGCCATTGACTGGCGGCTCAACGATCCAACCGTCTTCACCTTTCTGGAGCACTTCCTCGCTTGCCAGCAGCACCGTGGTCGGGAAGGGCACCCTGGAGCGTGGCAACCCCTTCCACAAGGCCACTCCCAGCCCCAGCCCCAGCCCGAACCGCAGCCACAATACCCCCTCGAACAGCCGTCGGGCGCGTCGGAGCCGTACTCCTCCTCCGCCGCCTCCGCCGCCGCCACCGGTTCCGAACCTGAAGCAATCGTAGCAGGTCCCGCAGCCTCCGGGCCCATCGGCCGCCATGCCGCCATGCTTGCGGTAGGTTGTGAAGTGTACGGCAGTAGCAGTAGCGATAGGGCAAATTGGTTGAGTGACTCCAAGGAGTGACCCATGGGCCTGTATGACGGCTGTGATGGATTTGTATGTGTGTGTGTGTGTGTGAGAGAGAGAGAGAGAGTATATAGGAACTAGCGCTGCTAGTAAGTGGAAAACGGAAAGACTGTGTGTAGAGCCATCGGGCCAGCTGGCCGTGCACTGCAGTAGAGACAATACGGAAAGACTGACGTTTGCCAGGTGGTCTCTGTTTTTGTGGCGGCGCTGCCACTGCGTGTTTGCGTTGCGACATCGCCATTTACCATTATGAACACTTCAAGAGTACGACTATTACCCGTATGACGCGTATTACTTCCGATTACCCGTACTCTCCGTGTGTTAGTTATCTCCACCGTCGCCAAAACCACGGTGATGCGCAAACGCCACCACTGACATTGACTGCTTCGTCTTATATCAATTACGTTGCGATGCATGTGACATGCAGGAACTGACGTTAGTGTACGACAACTTCCTGTCGTACGACAACAGCACGGTCGCGCTGGCATGCGTCTTGACGGCAGAACGCCTAGCGTTGGGCGCTGGCAGCAGTGATAGCGGGCAGCAGCAGCTGCCGTTGCCATTGCCGATGCCGCCGTTGTTATCGCAAGCAGCAGCGGCTGTGGTAGCTGTTTCTAGCTTGAAGCTAGAGTGGTTAGCCCCCGGGCTGGGGCCCTGCGTGGAGGCTGTGGAAAAGTTTTGCGTCGCCTTGCAGCCCGCAGAGACTGCCGGTTTACGGCCCCCCCAGACCACTTAGCACGTGTAGCAGCAGCATGCGTTTGCATGCCTGGTATACATGTGGTGTATCTGGAATTGAAACGGCAAGAAGCGTCCTTTGGTTGCTTGGTGTAGTTCGTTTGGCGCCAAAGTTTCGAAGATCGGCAGCTCGCCTTGTACCTGCTGATCTGCAAACTGCCCCGCGGCTTTCGGGTGCTGAATATTGCGGCGCCCCTACCGCGGCGGAGCCATAGGGACCGGCGGGCGGCCCGGCGGGCTGAGGTGAGGTGAGCTGAGGTGATGTGAGATGGGGTGAGTGTGCTTGAAGGGAGATCAATCAACAGCATTGCGGAGGCAGGCCAGTCAAAGCAGGGGGGAAGGGGAAGGCGCAGGACTGCGACCATTCTTCTTGGCAGAGGAGGAGGAGGAGGTGGAGGAGGAGGAGAGAGAAGAGGCTACCTTCGTCCCATTCAGCGCTCATCGAGCAGGTGGCGTTGCGCAGTCAGCATTTCATTTTTCAGAGCAATGGAAGCTAAGAAACTTACACGCGCGATGCAGCGCGGTCAAGGATGCGCGGACATACGACGCGGATTGTTGTTGCTAACACTTTCATGTATGTTGTTGTAATCTCCCCCCGTTCGCCGCCGGTGGAGGAGCTCTCCTCGTGCGGCGTGTAAAGTGCCGTACATCCGCGCAGCCTTTTTCCCTGTCGTCGCGGGGACATCGGTATTGCTGTGCTTGTGTGGGGAAAAATCGTGATGCAGATCGTGGATTTGTTTCCACATTTTTTGTTTTCGTCCTCTTACACACAATCGGCTGTCTTGATTGAACTTTGAGTGTGATGGTGGAAAGCTTGTAAAGTGTTCAGCAGATGCGATGTTGGTCCAAATGGAGATTTATGCTCTGATTCCTGGCAGGTCTAGAGAGCACAGCGCCGCTTTGCATTATGCCGAAAAATATTGGTGATCCGTGATCCTGATCCGTGATCCGACCGTGATCCTTAGCTGACGTTCCCTACCAATGAGTCATCACGCGGTGGATCTTTCGAAGGAGATGCCAGTCGCCTTAGTAATAGCAGGTGGGACTCCTCTTAAAGCACTTTCTTAGCGCGTCGCGGTGAAGAACTTCAAGATCGAGCTGCGGTCATTCGATTTAGGCAGCATGAGCGACGCTTAGGCACGGCTGGCTTAAGGGATGATCCTATGATTTTAGGCGTGGTGCTCAAATTTTAGTTTAGGTGGTGAGCCTTACGGAGTTTGGTTAAGATGTTTAGGGACCCGTTTGTGGGTGGACAGTTCGTTTCTCGGGCAGGTGGGTCTACTTTCGTAGTCCGCGTATTCATGAGCGGCGCTGGATAGTACTAAAATACTAGGATTACCACTCCTGCCGGTCTTGTTGGTGGCAATGACGTGGTAATGGTGGTAACGGTGGTGGTGGTAATGGTAATAGCAGATTAGCACGTTTATGTGCGTTTGTACACGGAGATCGTGCCGCGGATCTCTTTGCCCTATCTGCCTGCTTCTGCCTCTTTGCATAAATTCGCCTGTGCGCGGTCACGTGTGTGTGCCGAGGACAGGAGTCCAGTCAGCGTTGGTGTTGTGATATTGCTGCTACTGCTGCCGGGAGCTTGCTGGATGGTGAAGTTGATGATATGAATCACTAGATGCTACGCAATCTGCAGAGCAGCCACAAGCAACCTCGCTCCCCGTTTGGATCGAGCTCAAAGCTTTGGCCCTATATACTATTTTGATTCAAACATAGATTTATTCTATGTGGGCCGCTCGCAACAGGTTTCAATCGGCAATTCTTTCTAGTACCTTTATTGATTAATTTAGCGCCGTGATGATACCGAAAGAGCTCTCCCGGGGGTGCCGAGGTTGCGAAATGGTTGACGGTTATTTTTGCGTCTGTTGGCGACACAGATGGGATGCGTTGGTTTGCATCCATTATGAAAATGGAGCACAGGCAAGGCGATAGCAGCGATGGTGATCAGTTGAGGAGCGGCGCGGTGCGTGGGTGTGCGGGTGCTTGCGCGGAACGTTTGGCATAAGTATAAGTACATGTCCGCGTGGAAATGGAAGGCGGCAAGGGGCTTATGCGCGGTGTTGCGGGGGGCCAATCCTTGCGGTATGCATGCGTCACGATAGCCATCGAGGTAACGAACCTTCAGCTTCTACTATCCTCCCGATGTTGGTGAGGAATGGCGCGTTCACAATAACCAAAATAAGGACCTAGAGCGCTCTTTTTGTACGAAGGCCGCCCTAAGGGGGCTCACCACCAGTCGTGCGCGCACCGTGGGACGCAGACGGCAGGCCGTCTTCATTTGCGGTAGCAGCCTAATGATGCCTTAAATTTGCGGCGCGCGGCCCCGTAAACACTATGGCTGGGCCTAAGTCTCCGTTTCAAGGATGTGATACAGAGGCAGTTTGATTCAGTCCAGGAGGACGCAGCCTAGATTCCTCCCCGCGGCAGGTCGCGGTTCTGTCTGCCTGCGGTGCTGCCTGTTCGCCTGCTCTTGGGTAATCTGCAGCGCGGGGCGAAAGAACGTTCTGCGACTTCCGGCTCTTTTCAGTCTGTTGGCCAGACGCTGCGAAGGTCCATTCCCTTCAGGTTACTTTAAAAAAGTGTTGTCGTTCATCCAGCTGATGTCGTGGTTGCACAGCCGCGTCGCTGCGCTTACGTAAATTATTGAAGGCAACGGAGGGGAAAGAGGAAGGGGGGAAGTTGAAGGTGGCGTGGGAAAGAGGAGAAGACGGGTTGCGGGTTGAGGTCAAGGGGTTTGTGCAACTAAAAAACATCTCCCTGCTCGCGGCCCGTGAAAAGGGCGAGAGCCTCGTTTTCGAGAGCGCTCGTACACAGCACTGGTGGGTTGCCTTTCAAGGCGTATCTAAAAGCACTGCGTGGCTTGTCAAGCGCGCTCTCGTGGTTACAAATGTAGAGCGCTGTACCGTACGGTAAAGCAGAATGTCCAGCACTTTGTAACATCTTTGTGCTGCATGTAGATGAGGCCATCGGCGCGCTGTGATAGGGTACAAATGAATTGTTCCTGGCGAACTGACCGGCGAACTGACTTTCTAATAGCGCGCATGGCCCAGGAATTGGGGAAGGCTCCAGCCTTGGAAATTTCTTTTCTGTCTACTGCTGAAAGCTTTATTTCCGCGCGTGCGAGGGATCATGTTGTCTTGGCCGTGAAGGCCTTTGCCGCTCCCTCACCTTCTTAGAAATGTCAAATTGTCAATCTTTGCAACGTTGGCCGTTACCATTCAGAACACAATTCTGAAGACACCGCGTGTGTCCAAGGAAGTAAATACTTTATGTGGCGCGACCGCAGCGCTGTGCGACAATCAATCTAACGGCCGCGGGCTGCACGAGTTTTGATGTGTCCAGAACTGATAGGAGTTAGCCATGGTATTTACGTTTGAATTAATAGGCGTTACGACTTGCAGCAATGCAGTAGCGGTACAACGCGGGATAGAGTACGTACAGGTATACGGTATGCGTGATTACATGAGAGCGATGTCGTGGGAAGATACTCCGCAGCGCGGCCAAAATGTCTGTGGACTTGAGAAGACTTGTTATGTTTCACCTCGTGTGGTGCGTCGCGGTGGTTCGCTGAAGGATGTGGTGCAGTTCTGGTTTGTTTTATGGCCCACTTTAAGTGCTCTTTGGAGGCTAGGGACTGTTGTAATAGGGGTCGGGCAAGTTTGTAATAAGTGAGGCTCTGCAAGCGCAGCAGTACATCGCAACACAATGCACCGTGCCGCACCGAAAACATTGGTAAGGCCGGTGAGGCTTTGCGGCTGCAGCCTAAGTGGACAAATATGATGAAGCGCCTCCCTTGGGTTCTCCCTTGCCACAGTTGGCCAGGTTGGCCGGCATAAAGCACACCACGCCACATGGATGTTCATTCCCACTTCAGACGTCACGAATCAGGACCGTTTTTGATAAGAGCAGGGGGGAGGGAACTGGTAACATCTGAGCAGCGGGCTTTGCATCCTTTAAGAGAGGTTCACTTTAAACCCCAGGGGTTGAACGGGCACGGGTCTCCTACAGACGTGGTGGTGCGTCAGGGGATTAAAGATAAAGGGTTTGCCGTCGATACCGTTCATTTGGGAAATGCACAGTTGCGTGGTCAAGGTACCCTCTTCAAGGCATGAGGACCATTCCATCCAATGCCGGATAGCAGCTATCTAGCTGCTAATGTGATGGATAGCAGCTAAGTGTTTGCTTGCTGAGATGATGGCGGGTAGCTTACAGTAGAGGAGTGCTATGTACTTGCTTGCCACCAACGTAAAACTTTTGAGCTATCGCACTGCACATGTTCCCATCGCCCGGCTAACCGGTTCTCATAGATGCAGTGGTTTAACGGTCCATAGCTTTGGCATGGAGCTTGGAGACAGCGCGTAAGTAAATGGAAGCGTGAAAGCTGATGCTTTTCACTCAATCCCGGGTGGTTGTCTCCGTTGCCCATGCTCGAGTCATGTATGAACACTCCTCTACGCACGCAACCGTGGAAACACCTAGATGCCCATCACCACAACAGTAAAGATTCATACATCCAAGGTAGCATGGGAGCAGGATATCATCAGGTCACAGAGTTATATACAATCCAGAAGCACAATGGTAGCGAATGTCTTTCTGAATGCCAAAGATGAAAGGACGATGCAAGGATTGCAGCTACCAACGTGCAGCAAGAACACAATACCCAATTCATTGACAGAAATAAAATCTCAAAACTAAAATGTGCCTCGCAGACTAATAGTAATAAGAATCTCTCAAAATCAATTGACAAGACCTTTGGGATGGAACCCCGAAACCGTACGACGACGATAAGCTTATCGATCTTGACCCTTTATAACCCACGCCACCGACTGACATCATCGCACTGTCGGTCGCAAGCAGTTCCACACAGTAAATACAATGGCCCTCTCGATGAAGATGCGCGCCAACGCGCGTGTGGTCTCTGGCCGCCGCGTTGCCGCTGTTGCCCCGCGCGTTGTGCCTTTCTCGTCGGTCGCGCGTCCAGTCCTGCGCAGCACCTTTGCCCCTGAGGTCTCCATTGATATTCGCCGTGCTGGTCGCAGCCGCATTGTTGTCGAGGCGGTGAGAAAGGCAGTAGTACTAAATACGCATGGAGATAGTCATCGTCGTTCGCGGTATGAACTTGTGTATTGCCTCCTGTCCGCAGGTTAAGAAGTCGGTCGGCGATCTCGGCAAGGCTGATTTGGAGGGTAAGGGACGACAATGTCGCCCGGAGCTGAATGCAACCGATGGTCGACTCCGATCTTGGGGTCCAATGCGAAATTCAATCGCCGTAGTCCTTCGGGAGCGCTTTGATGAACTCGAAGCATACATTATTGAATTTGGGTCCCAAATTATCTACCGGAGGAGTTCAGATTTGGATGTTTGCGATGTTGTCCCCCATCACAGGCAAGCGCGTCTTCGTCCGCGCCGATCTGAACGTGCCGCTTGATAAGAAGACCCTGGCCATTACCGATGACACCCGCATCCGCGCGGCGGTCCCAACCTTGAAGTACCTGTTGGACAATGGTGCCAAGGTTCTCCTGACCTCGCACCTGGTGAGTGGAAGCACTGTAAAAGCGTTCGGGTCTATTAAAATGCCATACCAATATTCAAATCTCAGGCTATATTTGGGAAACATATTCTACCTGGCAGGTAGCGGCGAGGTGCAGCTTGAATGTTGTTCGGTCATCCGTCATAACTTTCCCGACCTTAAATTGTTATCTTCTTAATATGGCATTTCCCAAATTACGATTAGGCTCGCGATATTTGGTCTCAGTGCCTCACAGTTCCCCAATTCCACTGTCGGTCCGAGGGGTGACGTGTTTCGTGAAACTCTTTTCGTTGACCACCTGCAGGGCCGCCCGAAGGGAGGCCCCGAGGACAAGTACCGCCTCACCCCTGTGGTGGCGCGACTGTCGGAGCTGCTGGGCAAGGAGGTGAGGCGGCGTGACTGTCTGCAAAATTGGTCTTTATTGTTACCTGGAGTCCTCACTACTTGTGATGCTGCTGATTTAACCTTACCAGACAATAAATTATAACTTGTCGATCATCCACATCTTGCAGGTGAAGAAGGTCGACGACTGCATTGGCCCGTCCGTTGAGCAGGCTGTGGCTTCCCTGAAGAGCGGCGAGGTCGGTTGGCTAGGTGGTTGGATCAATTGGGTCATTGAGCTACGACATGATTCGGATGATTTACTTCTCGCATCTTTCTTTATTGAACTGAATAATTTAGCTGGCTAATTTCTGTTGGACGTTGGTTGGCGTTTGAATTATTTGCATAGAGTTTTCCATGGATTGAGATGCATTAGTTTCTTTTGTTTTGCGCAGCTCCTGCTGCTCGAGAACGTCCGCTTCTACAAGGAGGAGGAGAAGAACGACCCCGAGTTCGCCAAGAAGGTACGAATGAGTTGAGACACATCCAAAAATTCATGTATGGAATATGTACCCTCGCGGTTGTCTTGTTTTTGCATGGAACGGCACGTGGTGGCATATAAAATTGAGGTTCAAGACATGCATTCTTAGCCGCACTGAATCCCGCACTCACTAGGTCAAGACTTCCGCGTTGGAGGACGCTAAATGCCAATTTCCTGTGTCAATTCATTCTCCAACTCTCCAGGCTGCCAATAGTCTTCCTCAGAATTTTTGACTCTTATTCAAACCCATGACTACTTTTCACGTGACGTGATACTGATCACAGCCTGCAGCATCTCCTCGATCTTCACCTCGCACATATTGCCACACATTGTCACAACCCTCGCACATCCTTAACTACCATTCCTTCTAGTGCCGATTTCTTCTAAAGTTCATACTTCCGATCACAATCGATCGCAGCTTGCCTCCAACGCTGACTTGTACGTCAACGACGCCTTCGGCACTGCCCACCGCGCCCACGCCTCCACTGAGGGTGTCACCAAGTTCCTGAAGCCCTCCGTGGCAGGCTTCCTGCTGCAGAAGGAGCTGGTGCGTATTAACTTAAAGTTTACTAAAATTGTGCTTAGACAGCCCTCCGCTTGAACTAAACCGAAGAAACGCCGACAGGGAACCTCTAGGGTGTGTCTGCTGCATGTGTGGTTATCTCCCCTGCCAACCGAGGCATTGATCCCTGGGAATGCGGCTGCGGATTGGATGGGGCAGGGCTAAGCGACGCGAATCGCGGATAGAGCAAGCCGTCTGCAGTCATTTGATTTTCCTTGTGTGAATCGCCTGGGGCGTTGTTTCGTGTGGGGCGTCCTCGTGAATTAGATCCGGCTCTCGTTTGAATGGAAGCTCTCGCCTGCATTATGTCGAGCCCTGCAAGTGCCAATTGCCCCCGACCCAGATATCTTTTCGATGCTCCTGCTGACGCCCCCGGTCCGTGTTTATCTGCAGGACTACCTAGACGGCGCCGTGTCCGCCCCCAAGCGCCCCTTCGTGGCCATTGTTGGAGGCTCTAAGGTGTCCTCCAAGATCACCGTCATTGAGAAGCTCATGGAGAAGTGCGACAAGATTATCATTGGGTAAGGAAGCTTAAAGCAAAGCTAGAACCCTGAAAAGGAGGCTTTGCGCTCAAGGAAGCGTTCGCTGTATGTTTTTTAACTGCGCACACAGAGACATACTGCTATACTCGCCTTGCGTTCCCATTCGCTGCGTTAGAACGAGCCCCTTCTGCGTGACTGTTATCACCTCCGTGCGTGCGCCATTATCATTCTGTGTTTCATGTTTCGCGTCTTCGCTGCGCTGCTTAATGTAATGGCGTGTTCTCTTACCGCTCCTGTTCGTCATACCCTTCCAGTGGTGGCATGATCTTCACCTTCTACAAGGCTCGCGGCCTGAAGGTCGGCTCCTCGCTGGTCGAGGAGGACAAGCTGGAGCTGGCCAAGAACCTGGAGGCCATTGCTAAGGTAAACACTTAGATTATGTTGAATTGACTTGACTGTACTGTTCCAACTTTTCGAGCTCAGGTGATGTTAGGAGGGGTGAATCGATCAAGTCGTCACCATTTTGGAGTCGATCAGGTTTCACACGTGCGCCTCTCCCTCACTCGATTGATTCTATTGTGGTAACTGCATTTTTGCGTTGCGGTTGGAATTAAATCCGCGTATAAATTGAATCTCCAGTGCATACTTGGAAGAATCCTTCATGTGCTCTACCCACGCCTTTGCCTTGACTATTGACATGTCTCATCCTTGTCTCACAGGCCAAGGGCGTGCAGCTCCTCCTGCCGTCTGACGTCGTGGTGGCGGACAAGTTCGACGCCAACGCCAACACACAGACCGTCAGCGTGGAGGCCATCCCCGACGGCTGGATGGGTCTGGACATCGGCCCCGACTCCATCAAGACGTTCCAGGATGCCCTGGCTGACGCCAAGACTGTCGTCTGGAACGGCCCCATGGGTGTGTTCGAGTTCCCCAAGTTCGCCGTCGGCACTGTGGTAAGTGACTGAAAGTAGAGATTTGTTTCGCAATGAGTCGTCGCAGTGCCCACTGCATGTTCAGCATGGCCACATGCAACCCCGGTCTTCCGTGTTTGCAAAACGAAAAGCTTTGGGTCGTCGTCTTAATGTTCCAGATCAATCCGAGACGATTAGCGAAGCTTCACAATCCAGATTGTGCACCCGACAGAATTAATGTATATTGGCCTATGTTATTACTTCCGTCACTTGTCACTTACGCCCTGTCTTTCAACAACTCCGTCCCTGACCACACCCCATACCACCAGGCCATTGCCAACACTCTGTCTGAGCTGACGCCAAAGGGCGCCATCACCATCATCGGCGGTGGTGACTCGGTGGCCGCCGTTGAGCAGGCTGGTGTGGCTGAGAAGATGAGCCACATTTCCACTGGTGGCGGTGCCTCTCTGGAGCTGCTGGAGGGCAAGGTCCTGCCGGGCGTTGCTGCTTTGGATGAGAAGTAATTGCGGCTTGAGTAAGGTGTCGACAGTCTTTTCGCGTTGGTTGCTGTTCTTTTTGGAGGCGATTCGTCTCGAGGATGTGCCCCGGGGAACCGATCCTGGCGAAAGTGGCTCTCCTTGGCGTGAGTGTGCACCTATCTGCTGGGAGGCACTGCATGCGGGTCGGTGTGTGCGTTGGCGCTATGGATGTACTGTGCGGATCTGTTCTGCGACATGCTGCGACATGCCTGTGCTAAACCAGAAATGGTTGGGCTCTAGCTGAAAAATAACATCTGTGCGGTGCTCTGCAACGGCAATCTACGGATAGTTGGTTGTTTTTGAATTTTCGGAGTTTAGTAACCGGCGACGCTGAGGTGGTCATCGCATGCATTTGCTTTTTCGCTGTGGCATAATTCGCGGTTGCAATAGGAGGTTCAGGAGGAGAAGTGATGTGCTGCACGTGTGCACGGCTCTATTTTTGGTTGGCAAAAGCAAAAGTTTTGTTATGTTTCGTTGCTTTATCGGCCTTGATGAAGACATGAAATGTCGGCTATATGCCCGTTGTCGCCCACAGCGCTCACTTTTCTCGGACCTCGGGAGGTAAAATGTTGTGTAACGCCAAAAGGCAATCGAAATGTCTCTGCCTCTAAACCTCAAAAACCGAACTTCAGCACAATTGCGTCCAATACTTCATATCGAAGGAAATTTTATCCTTACCTTTTCAAGATGTATTGACCAAAGCAAAGCTGTCATCAGCATGTCAATAGTCTTTGCATTGTAAAACAAGAGGTTCGAATTACACATGCAATCCTCACACCAAATGCCCTCCTGTTGTATGAGTGAGTCTCTATCACGAGATACAGCTTAACCCCGCGCAAATACTACAGGTGTATTATTTCCCGTGCACACTTTCCCGCACCACCACCACCACCACCACGACTTTTTTGGATCCTTTTCATGGGAGGTCTTTTGGGGCTTAGGCCTCTTTCAGTAATGGTTGCGGGTCCTGAGCTTCCCCTTTAGGTTTGCTTTTGGCTGTCTAGATAAACTTGCGTTGTCTGGCCTGGGTGGGTGTCTTGTGTGGCCTGATCGTCTCAGGTGCAGTAATATTGCACGGCCAGCAAATGGCCCGCTGGCTCTACTCTCCGTCAGTCTGGAGAGGCCACTGTAACAACACCACCCGCACAGAACTATGACCACCACCACCACGACCACGACCACGACCATCACCGTCGCCAAGCCAGGCGCCCATGCATTTTGCCCTTTACCTAAAAGCTCTTGGCTACGACGTATGGATGGATGGATGGATGGATGGATGGATGGATGGATGGATGGATGGATGGATGGATGGATGGATGGATGGATGGATGGATGGATGGATGGATGGATGGATGGATGGATGGATGGATGGATGGATGGATGGATGGATGGATGGATGGGAGAATGATTTAAAAAGCTTACTAGCGCCACCAAAAGCTAACCGAGAAGCTCGTACTTAACGATCGAACGAAGTGCCACCAGCCAGGTGGGATGTACAGCATCTGGCCAGGCTCCAGAACCACGTCTTGGTACGGCAATGCAGCAACTCCAGGGAAGCGGCCGCGGCCTAGGCCGCCTCCATCTGTACGTTTCCCACGCACCGTCAACTCGTCGGAACCTGGATTCTGATCGGGACATGGATCCGGATTCTTCTCCTCCTGTTTCATCTCGGAGCTGCCTGGCTCTGGATCCCGATCTAGGTCAAGATCTAGATCTAGATCTACTTGGCTGCTATTGCTGGTGATGGTTTCGGAGGGGAAGGGGTACAGGCGGTCCGTCAGGGAAGGGTCGTACAGTCGTACATATTTGCGGCCCACAACCTGCATGCGCGTTATGTGTATATATATAGAGAGAGGGAGGAGACGAGGGAGGATGTTGTCAGAGAGCTTGAGGGTGGAATGTGCAACGACGTTCGGAAAATAACAACACAACACCCAACGAGCGACGATGCAGCCACCTGCATCACAATTCACATCACCTTGAGAAGCTCCTACTGCTGCTACCAATTGTCATACCACGACTACAGAAAAGCACCGGTCGGCGGATGTCAGATTCCGTGATGCGCCCTGAAGGATACAACATACTGCTGCTGCCACTGCTGCTGCCACCGCTACAGCCCGGTAATAGACCTGTTACAACCCTTAGGATTGCATTCCTATCACCACCCAAACAAAAATCAAACAATATGAAAAATCTCAAAACTTAAACTCCGAAAAAAACCCTTTAATATTCCGACTTTCCAAACCGTTTCTAAATACTGAGCAGACGGACCCACACGCATACATCCACGTCCTCCGAAACCGTTTCCCCCGGGGGTATTCTCCCGTCTCTAAAACCCTAAAACCTCTAAACCTCCGTTAAATACCCTAAAACTCCAGCCCCATCCCCCCCCCCAAGAACGGCCCCCCCCCACGTACTAGGGCTCACCACCACCTACTTGCGCTAGTAGATTGTGGTGAGGGTCCGTATGTAGCGGTGTGGTGGTTCCTCCGGGTCCGAGCCACGCGTTCACGGCGCGCACCTCCCCCTCCTCTCCGAGACAGCAGTAGTCGGGCTGCACGATGTCCCGTCGCAGAGCCGGGATCTGGTCGAACAGCGCGTGCTGGGCGAGGTAGCCCCGTGGGGGAGGGGGAGGGGGAGGGGCCAGGGGAGGTGCTGCTGGAGCCGCTGCTGGCAACGGCTGCAACGCTGACGCTGCTGCCAACACGTGCTGCTCCTCCTCCCCCTCCTCCTCCTCCCCGTCCTCCCCTTCCTGGAGATTACTGGGGCTAGAGGCCCCCGGCTGTCGCTGTAGCTGAGGATGTAGCTGAGGATGTAGCAGAGCGCCCCCACCGGCTTCATCCGCCCCAGTAGCCACCGCGTCCGCTCTCCCCCCCGTCATATGTTGCCTTAGGAAGGCCCTCAGCGTCATGAGCTGCTGGCCCCACCCCGCAGCGAGGTAGTGCTCACCGAGCTGACAAGGACAACAGCTCCGGGCCCGGCGGGGGGGGGGGAAAATTGCGGAGGGGGAAGGGGAGGGAGGCGGACCACCGTGAGTAAGTGTGCGTGTGCGTGTGTATGTGTATGTGTGTGTGTCACATGGTTGGGGGTGCGTGGCCCCATACCTGTAAAACTAACTACCCATAGAGCCGAAGGCCCAAGGGCAATATCTACACGCCCAAAAGCCACGGAGAACAGGAAACACCGCACCGTGTAGGTGAGCATGTATATGGTGGGAAAGCGGAGGTCGCTGGTGGGTGCTGATACTGGGGAAACGTCGGGGGGGTTTAAGGGGGGGAGATAAGGGGGCCTAATCGGGGAATATTGGATGGCCCCCAATGGGTTTTAGGGTTTTAGGGGAGGAAGATCGGAAGAAAACCGAAACCGAAACCGAAACCTAGTGGCGTGGGTCGGGTTTTATGCCCAACGGTGGCGCGCTCCCAACGACCGCACCCGCCTGGACTCACACGCACGCATGTACATACATACCTACGTACATACACACGCGCGCCCGTTATCCTTAAAACGCGCACGTGCCCGTGGTTATACCCCTACATCGTCGGGAAAAAATGACGTGCAAAAATCGCGAACTATCGCTACTAGCGAACTACCTAGCTATATCATTGGTTTACATATATGTGTGTTAATTTACATGTTTCATTGTGTAGAAAATGTGAACGGAAATGCCTTACTAATATTTGGTTGCGCCCTCACCTCCACGGGCACCGTACGGCAGCCCGCAACTCGCTCCAAGTACGACAGGTCGCTCCAGCGCGTCATCGCGGGCCAATGCTCCATCGCACCTGCAGTACGACCGTACGGGACATCTGGGGTCCTGCACAGTACAGACGGATCCCATACAGAGGTAACCCCCATATGTGGTCCAAAACCTCCCCCGACTTGCCGCCCTGAAGTACTCAATGCTCTTAAACTGATCTGCCGTACTGCTTTCGAGACCCAGGGCCTCTGATTCACAACATCTTGAACCCAACTGATGAATCAGAGGTAAGGAGATGAAGTACGGCAAACTTATGGGTACGTCATAACCCATCATGCGATACCACCCACCAGTTATCACCACGGGTCGCTCCGGAACCATGTACGACAGAAGGAAATCTTCGAGACCGGGCTGCTCCACCGTCGGAACGCGGCTGCCAGGAGGCCCACCTAACGAGCCACGGGGCAGCCGTACAGCTGCCACTGCCACTGCAGCCCCCGCCGCCATTGTATCGACAGCCGCTACTGGCGCCGCTGCTACAGCATCTGCGCCGACGGCGCTGCGCCCAGCACCTCGCTTTCGATTCCCGTTTGCCGCTTCTGCCACTCCAACCGCCGCCGCCTCTCCGGCGCCCCCTTTTGCACCCTCCGCCTCCGCCTCCACATCCCTATCCTCTCCCTCGTCTACCGTCCTGGCTGTCGTCGCACAAGCCAAGCCTTCCCCAGCGTCCCCGTCCCACACGCGCCGCCTTTTCGCCCCCGCCCGCTGGAGGCCCTCCTCCGCATCCCCACCTCCGCCCTCGCCCTCGCCTTCGCCGTCGCTTCGGTGGCCCGTGCCCTCGCCCCCGCCGTCTTCGTTGACGGCAACGTTGGCGACCCGCCGTGGCCCTCCCTTCAAGACAACCCCACCGCCCCCGCTATTGACGTCGTCCTCAGCTCCGTTTTTTGCCGTCGCCGCAGGTCGCCGTACTTGCGCCGCCGTCACCGCCAGGTGCACGTCCTCAGCTAGCTTGTGCATGTGCTGACGCCACAACGGGCCCCCCATCATCAACCCGAGGTCTAGCTGCCGTAAGCTGCGCTGCAGCAGCGGCAGCGGCAGCGGCGGCGGTGGCGGCGGCGGTGGCGGCGGCAAAAGCAGCTGGCACCGCAACCTCAGCCCGCTTGCAACATCCGCTTCGGAACCAGCATTGGATTCTTTGGATTCTTTGGATCCGGATCGGATGTTCGGAGGGGGGCCATTTGAAGAAACCGCGTTCATGAGGTCCGCTGGCATTAGGCTCAATGCGGACTCAGCGGCCCTAGGTTCAGGTTCGAATCCCGATGCTGGCGGAAGTAGGCGTACAATGGTGTCGATGAAGCATGCTAAGGAGTAGCAGTTACGCCATGCCTGGAGATGCATGCACAACGATTACAACGGGGGAGATGCAGAAATTATAATTTAGAAAGTTGTATTTCTTCTTCGTATACTACCAACACCATTTCCCTCATCGTGGCTCCCAAGATCATAAAGCACAACCACAACCTATATATCACACACACGATCATGTAACCCCCAGCCTTCCCAAACCTCCCTACTACCACCACCACCGCCGCCACCACCACTGTAAACTCACCCACTCGCTCACCCACCCACCTACCACGTGAACGTCCTTCCAGTGGCCCAGGTGAAGCTTCTCCCAACACAACTCCAAAAGTGCCGCGCTGGACCCCAACAAACCGACCCACGGGTCACTGCCCGTTCCACTGTCGCTGCCGCCATCGCCGCCATCGCCACACACACCCTTGGCGCCGGCGCCGGCGCCGCACGCAACGGCACCACATCCACCGCCCCTGCCGCCGGCAACGCTGCTGCACCATCCTTGTCCGGTGCGCACGACAGCACCCGGATCCGGATCCGGCCCGGGGTCTTTAGGGACGGATCCAGAACCTATTTCTGGGTTGGGGTCAGCCAGCAGCGCCCCGATCAGGTTCTGTGAGGCCAAGGGGGGCGAGTCGGTCGGTCGGTCGGTCGGTCGGGCGGGCGGGATGTCATGACGCCAGTTCAATCCATGTCAAGAAGGAAAATCAATAGCCGGTGTCTGAGGCCGGTTGCGATCACCGGTGGGTGCTGGGTGGTATGGGAGATCGCCATCACCGAGATGCATCAACACCACCACCACCACCACCATCGTCAACAGCATCATCATTCATACCTAGGGTTACTTGCCTGCGGGGACACACACATACATACATACATACATACATACATACATACATACATACATACATACATACATACATACATACATACATACATACATACACACGCACGTTTTTACACACAGACTTAAATCTGAAGCCTGGGGGCTAGGTAAGTGAGGGTCCGCAGCTAACAACCCTCCTCTTTCCTCTTTCCTCTTGCCAAGAAGAGGAGATTTCAGCAACCACCAGTACGTCCGCCTGTTAGGCGTCAGTATGTATGTACACGCGCGCCGAACCCACCTCCGAATCTTCCAGAAGCTGTCGAAACGCGTCCACAGCCACGCCCCCGAGGGCGGCGCCCTGTAAATCTGCACAGCAGGTGGCGTACGGCGTCGTACAGTGTACGCCATATGGCCTCATACGGGCAACGGCTATCTTTCACAAAATGATTATTTTGGGAATCAACGCTTGTGTCTAGGAGGGAGGGACTTCCCGAGCAGGGTTATCTTGTTGTAACTGTGTATTTGGGTTGTGAAATTGGAAGCCGTCAAAAAAGCTCTACAGGAGAAGCAGCAGTACCATTAACCACACCTCGTAGGAGGTCAACGACATCGTCATCTTGTCGCCAACGGAACAACGGGCTTAAGTCCAGTGCCACATCTCCCCCCGCCGTTCGTACAATGTACGGCCGTGTAGGGCAAGAGGCCATGCGTCCTGAATCAAAGGGCTGATCCTAAGGTAAATGGAGGAAGATAACAATAAAAGTTTTGTTAGCGCGCGGGTGGCTTGGGTGCTGCGGTCATCGCTCCTCCAGCAGGGCCTTCAGGGGGATCATATGGTGTGTTGGGGTAGCCATGGCGCGGGATGGAGACAAGCGTTAAATCCGCGTAAGTCATTTTGTGACATGCTCGTTCTGCATCGCGACGAGCAAAATGCTTTACCGGACGAGGTGGTTGGTTGGTCAGTTTTGGTTTCAGCTGGAGGCCGGAGAATGCCGAAGTATTCCCAAGCGTTATTGTCTGTGTGAAGGAGTAGTTATCCTTGTCTGTCTATCAGTTTTATGTAGACGTGCAGCACTTGAAATTGAGTCTAACTACGACGACTCAGAACACAAACGCCGCAGGCAAGGTACTCATATCCATAGCCTTATGTCCAGTTTCGTATCGTGAGTCGAGCAATTTATACTTTTACTTTACCTGTTATGTTACAAGCTTGCGAGAGCTCGTAAGGCCCATCTCATGGACCGCAAGTTCTAGCGTAGCCCAAAAGAAGGAAGAAACAAAAAGGAGAAACAAGGGTTAAACCCCATCTGCGAGATATAACAGTAACTGGAATAAGCGACCTCAGGCTTACTACTTGGCTATCTGCGTGCATCGCCTCATCCAGATGTTGCGTAAGACCGCCCTGATGATCTATCCCATTACAGACCTCATATTAAGCAAGGCCTCGATATCAGCCTGGCGTACACCTAGGGGTTGAGGAGCCCTTTCCGTAGGTCGTTGTAGGCGAGGACAGTCTACAAACACGTAAAACTCATCTTCTACTGCATTAATGTTCCCGCACAGCCTACACCAGCGCTCTTGGCGCGACTGACCGCCGGGTCGGCTAGCCTCCAAAGGCCAAGCCCTAAGCGAAACCGCAGCAGTGACAAGTATGACTTCGCAGAGATGTAGCACGTCGTGTGTTTCGGCATTCCCATCCGCCACATCTTAACCCCTGGTTTACCCCTGGTTGCGCGTCGCAAATCCCCGGAGGTGTAGTAATAAGAAGATAGTGAAAGTACTAATCTCGCTCCGGGCACAAGTATAGCCCAGCGATGTTGCAATGACTGTGTGTATGACAAATCAAAAACGCACTCCAAAAAAGGACAACGAATTTCTCTCCAAAGCACAAGAACGGGACCCACGAGTGCTACGCGAATGGCAGGAAATGGCCGTGCTGGACCAAGTAGCGGCACGCAAATACGCTGAATAACGGATGGTGGAATGGAGGATTATATGGAGCTATACTAGCGCCTGTGCTTAATTAAGCAGCCCCTCGCACAATTGTGTCCGGCCGTACTGTGCCGAATAAACACTCCGTACAAGACGCCCCAAAAGCTAGGCACGAATTTTACCGCGCGGATGCGCGCGTGCGATTCGCAAAATGCGCGTGTACAAGTGTATGTCATTTTTTTGGCGAAAGGCCGCGGTGCGTCAGCGCGTTGCGCAGGAGGGCATGATGGCCACAGGCGCACGCGGCATGCAGGCTGGGCTTTTGGGTGGCTGCTTTGCAGTAACTGGAAGCATACGTCTTAGCTTGCAAGACTGGGCTCATGAAACAGCCGCGGGAAGAGGAAGCGTCTGGCGAAGCGGCACTTTTGTGCAAGCGAAAAGACGCCAGCTTTCTGTAGCGCAGCGCATACAGTACCTTGTTCCGACTACAGTCTAGTTACACTCTTCCAAAAAAAATATAACAAACGCAGAAATTATAACAAACCAGGAAAGTCGTTCAGAGCCTTGTAATAGGGTGTCTCCACGTGGACGTTTGTTAGCGACCCTTTTAAAAATTCTCACCCTGGACGTCAGGTTTGCACGTTCTGTTTCGCAATATAACATATTCTATATAAATAAATGATAGAAATGCAAAAGGTTTGACAGAAGGGGGAGGGATGGCGAAGAACGGGGGGCCCATGTGGAGACAAGGCCCTTGTTAACGTCCTATTAGCCCGCAAAATTTATAGGCTGCCCCGGACCAGCTTTAAGCATTGATAACTTTGAGCGCGGAAAATCTCGTGACTTCTTTTTAAATTATAATATCACCCGGTCTTTCCTTTGCTTTCCGTCTACTACCTTGACTGCTTGCCGACTTTCGCCGTTGCCGTTGACCAAGAATGTCGCAGAACCAGTCGCCCTCGCCGGTTCCGTCTCAGAACTGTCCTACTTCATTGCACAATGCCTTAATGGCAACCATTCAACAGCGAATGCTGAGTCCGCTGCCCCGACTGTTTAGCATTGCCGACGTCCATGCTTATTTATGAGAATGGGCAACAGCCCAGCGACAATTTGCAGGACAACTGCCGTCCTCATTTCTCTTTAATGTTCAAAAAAAATTTGCTCAAGCAGGAGCGAAATGGCGCTAAAAGACGGTAAAAATATGGTTTCGGGGCTGCTAGTGGAGACAGTACTTTGTTAGCGCGCCAGTAACTTTACCGGAGATAGTTAACAGACGTCCACGTGGAGACACCCTGTAAGTAACATGGATGCCGCTGATGGCTTGGAACAGCTTTTCGCAGCGCATACGGCCGTGCCTGCGTTAGGCGTGTTGCAGCAGCTCCGGAAGGACTTCAGCCAGCAGCAAGCTCAAAAGCTGCTGAACAACCACCGGGATTGTCTTCAGTTGGGAACATGCAGTTTTGGTCGGCGCGGTCGAGCATCGTACGCATTGCGCACAGGAACCGAGGTGCAGCGTCTCTTTGACATCGCCAACATATCCGGTACGCGGTGGCCGGCTTGCCGACCACGACATGAACGGGCGCTTGCATCTCAACATTCAAACAGTCAACCAAGCCTGCATGCGCCATTGCAGATGAGGACGCGGCACAATTTTGGGCGACGGGTGTCGGGCAGCGTTTACGTGGTAAGACAAGAACCAAGGGGTGGCATAGGTCGGGTCATGGCCGTGGTAGTGCGTACGACCTCTCATCTGGTATGAGCCAACATGACACCGCCTCTTTCAGCGAGTAAGTAATCTTAAATGATGCCAATTCCTATCCTGGCGACTGCGATGGGTGCGGTCATGAGGTGTATTACAACCGCCAACTGAGTCCATACAGCTCCAACGCCTGCTGATTCGTCCGCTGCATATTACTCCATCCGACAGGTCTGCATGGTGCAGCAGCCGTCCGTGCAGCCCATCCTCTTGAAGGCTCAGTTTGCGACGTCGCTACAGCCGACACGACATCCATGCTAATCGATTCACAACCAACCCGCGATCGCGTAGGAAATGGAGACCCGTCCTGCGGCACTGGTAAGCGCCTGCCAATGTGGGGATGTGATTCACGGGGTGTCTTGGGCTTTGGTGCAGTTGGTGACAAAACGGTTTTGGCCGGTGTCAAGGCACTGCTGACACCTTCATCCAATTAAGGGGGCACCACTGCTCATGTGCTGCTATGCAGGCGAACTCCCGGTGCCACTATATGCACGCAGCGACATTAGCAACTGTGCTGTCGTGCCGCTCGATGCCCACGCAACGTGTTTGGACTGCGTGCGTCATGCTCTTATTGCCGTGGGTGCCACTGATGTGCCCGCGCCTGACATTCTGCTGGCAACCATGGTGGGCGCCATTGCCGAGTCTTGGGATTCGATGCACTTCCAAGTGCTACATGCCCATGCCAGCAGCCTCCCCAGCACGGCGGAGCAATATGGAGAAGCCCTACAGCAGCACCGGCTGCTGCCAGGCGATGTGGAGCTGGCGGTTCTTGCCCATGCTCACAACATTGCGCTTACAGTGTTTGACCCGGATGGGCTGCAGATGTGCTATTGGGGCTCCAGCACAGCACCAACAGAGGTGTGCCTCATCCGGCAGATGGGCCTCGCTGGCACCCCCGTGTCTTACCGCCTGCTGGATATGGTGCCGGGTGTGTGGACAGGGCAACACCGCCATCATCTCGTCGCGGCTTGTCGTGCGGTTGGCCTCTGCATGTCAGAAACACTGTCAGCGGAGCGGGCTGGTCAAGTGTGTGCTGTCCTGCATGGGATGGACAGCCGCTGTGAGTTCACTGTGCAGCAGGTCTTGGCGGAATGGGCTGATCAGCACAGACCTGCGGTTGAGATGCGGCAGCTGCTTGCAGCGACACAGCAGTCATCACAGCAGGCACAGCTGCTTTGGCTGCTGCGCCGCTGCCGCTGTAGGATGTACGACTTTCCGCGGCCGAGCTGAGCAGTGTGGCCTGGAAGCCACGCGGTCATGAAGAACAGGAACTCAGCGCGGCGAAGTACGACAATACGGCAGTACGGCACATGGGGTTAGGAAAGGGCGAGTACTAGGTGAGGCCAGATCAGACAAACAACAACAGCCCCTTACTTTATCGTCCTCTATTACTTATCGACTCCCTTTTCGGGGCCTTCCAAAGCTCTCTCTCTCCAAGCAAACATGCAAATGTGTTCGATCATTTATCATCTTAAAAAACTCCAGGTCTTCTTCGTCCGCACCGGTGATGCCAATTTAACTGAACTTCTCCAGCCTGTCAAATGATTCAAGTCAAATCGTCTCAACGCGAACAAAAACATCCCGATTGTTGAATCCAAGACATCCCCAATCCAAAACCCTAAGACCCCATCGCCGACCTGCTGTGCCAGGATTTTCAGCTTGAACGACGGTTTCTGATCTGTACGGCAGTATTCCTCCAGGGCTTCCCACATGTTGATGACGTCATCATCGCACACCAGGTCAACCAACTGATCCTGGCACCCCGGCAGCTCGTACTTGAGGATGAGCGTCTGGTGGTGCACGGGGGGAGGACGAACCATGTGAACGAGCGCCAAGCTGATTCCCAGGATAACTGATACGCCGGGAGTATGTAAGTATGTAAGTATGTAAGTAACAGAGAGGGGGATGCGGTACGACGGAAAAGTGGATGGGGCAGGGATGAAAAAGGAGGACGGAACTGAAGAATGGAGAAAGAGAAGAAAGTTGGAAAGGAAAGGCGGCCGAGGCACACCGAGGCTTTTGTCAATACGACGACGTAACACACAACACACTTATTGACGACATAACAACACACAACAAACTTTCCGATTATATTGCGGGTCATTATAATCGAAAAGTATTCATATAAAGACAAATGCGATATAGCCACAACACTCTTTACATGCATACTACTTGATTACATACTTTTGTTCTCTCACCTCGTCGGGGAGATCTATGGCTACGGCCTTGGCAATCGCCGACGCCAGTCCCCGGAAGCTTTCCGTACGAGGTACGGCAATCAGCCGCGTCTCCCCGCTGTTGTACTCCCAAACTCCCGACGGGCAGCGGCTGAATACGCCGCCGGCGTACAACAACACCTTGACCTGCGAGATAGCAGCAGTAGCAGCAGCAGTAGCAGGGGCCATAGCAGGGGCCATAGCAGTAGCAATAGCAGCAGCAGCAATAGCAGCAATAGCAGCAATAGCAGCAATAGCAGTAGTAGCAGTAGAAGCAGCAGCAACAGCAGCAGCAGCAGCGGCAGAAAAATCGCCATCTCCGCACCGACTTGGCGGCAGCGGCAGCGAGTACGGCCTGAAGTACACGCGTTACGTCAACTTCCTTTGCAGCATCTCAAGCAGTGCCTAAAGAAGGGGTGCCGATTTCGTTTTCCGAACCATGACTTATCGAAACTCCGTGCGTTGCGGCTCGCGGAGACACATTCGCTGTGATGCATATGTGCATGCATGCATGCATGCATACATACATACATACATGCATGCATATGTATGCATGCATGCATACATACATGCATACATGCTCATAAAAGGCAAGAGCGCAAGGCGAGTCGACGCCGACGACACACCTTGGTTTCCTTGGCCACACCCTGTTGCTGCTGAGCCGTCGCCGACGCCGACGCCGACGTCGCGGCGGCGGCGGCGGCAGCTGCCAGCGCCGGCGATGTTGATTGACCTGGCGACAGCTGCGCCGCCATGGCGCCAGGCAAATTCGCGCCGCTGGCGCCGGCGGCGCCGCTGGCGCCGGCGGCGCCGCTGGCGCCCAGGGTCAGACTGCCCATCCCGACTCCTCCTATCGAAAGACTAGGTGCGCTCCAGGCCGACGCCGCGCTGCTGCCCGTACTAGTGTTCAATGTCATCCCGCTACCGACGCTGGGCTGCAGGTTGTACGACGACGGCGGCGGCATACCGGCCTGCAGCAGGCTGTTCGCCAGGTTTGCCGACGCTAGCGTTCCGTGTAATGACTGAAGCGTCAGCGGTGATGCCGTACCGGCAGGTGCCGAGGAGGCACCGCCAACGGCGGTCGCGGGACTCGCCGCCGCCGCTGCCGCTGCGTTGAGCAGCGCCGCCGCCGCTGCTGCCGCCGCCGCTGCAGGGTTCCCGGCTGCGCCATGCCCTGTCAAGTTGGCGACGGCAGCGGGGTTGGAAAGTACGGCAGCCGCGTTCGCCAGCGCGGCGGCATTTGCGGCATTCGTGTGTACAGTAGACAGGGCCTGCGGGCTGCTGGTGGCGGAGCCGCCGCCGCCGCCGCCGCCGCCACCGCTGCCGCCGGGCGCCATAGCAGCGTAGTAGGAGCACGGGCTACCGGATGCGACGCTGCTGGTGGTGGACGACACTGCGCCAATTTCCAAAAACAGAATGCCATTTCCATCAATTTACATACATATATGTTCGTACATTTTTTATCACTTCCCAAGGTCGTCGTTAGCAGTAGAAAACAGAACTCGTTTCAGGACGTGTGTACATATCAATAATAGACGAGGCCAACAAGGACCAATGATGTCGTACAAACGGGGACTTGCGCGTAGACCCAAATGCTCGGGGCAACTACAACGACATAAACTGTTACCGACACAACGGTATATGGCGTTGGGCGGAGAGGAAGGACGGCAGCGCATGTAAGTAGCGCCATTCAATTCAACGCTTACATGCGCCGCCATAGCATCATTCAAATCGACAAATTCCGACTACTTAATTAGTCCGCGGCACCAGGAAGTACGACAAAGGGTTTAATGTGATTGACTGCATTTCCAATGGGGCTTACCAGCTTGCCTCGACAGATTAGCGGCGGCAGCCGCCATCTTGGACGCCAGAAGCGCTTGCTCTAAGCTGACGCCGCCGCCGCTGCCGGGGGCTCCAGGCGTCGGCGTTGCTGTCGTAGTCGGTAACGCCACCACTGGCGCCGGCGACAGGCCCAACGCCGCCGCCGCGGCTTTCGCAGCTGCGATCGTCGACGCCGTCGTTGGCGCCGCTGTCTGCACCACCATCGGTTTCGGCTGTACCAACGTCATGAGCTGCGGTGTCTGTTGTACGACGGCTACCGGGTTAGCAGTAGCAGCTGCGGAAGATGCCGCGCCGTCGCCACCTTCCTCCCCAAGAGCTCTAGCGTCACTTCCGCTGCCGCCGCCGGCAAGCGGCGGCGGCGACGCCGGCGTCGCCATGGAGAGGCTGCGCAGCTCGACCGTCGGAGGTGCTGGCAGGCCGCCGTTGCCGCCGCCGCCGCCGCCGGTGGCCGCTGGCGCCGCTACAGGCATGATCTGCGATAGTGCTGCAGCTGGGAGCGTTACGGATTGTCGTCCGTCGCTGGTGGTTGATACGGTAACCGCCACCGTTTGTGCTGGTTGGTTGCCCGACGCGGGAATCACTAGATTGGCTCGCGTTACACTTACAGTGCTCCCCTCACTGTTGGCCGTACTCCCGCTGCTCACCTCGCCAACCTCTGCCGTACGATTCCCGCCGGCGCCAGTGCCAGCGCCAGCGTCTATGCCGGCGGCAGCGGCGGCGGCGGCGGCGGCTGCTGCCGCAGCCGCGACGTCGCGAAACGACATGCCGACGTTTGCCGTACTCCCCGCGCCGCCGGCGGAGTTATTCAGGCTGCCCGGTGGCGTGTACAGCTGGCTGCTACTGCCGCCGCTGCTGGGTGGCCCGTCACTGGTATTACTAATCATGCTTGTGAAGCTATAGCCTGATGTAGGAGGCGCCGCCGCCGCCGCCGCCGCGGCCACTTGTGCTTGGTGCTGCTGCTGCTGCTGCTGCTGCTGCTGCTGTATTTGCTGAATCTGTTGCAGCTGCTGGTGCAGTTGTTGCTGCTGTTGCTGCTGCTGTTGCTGTTGCTGTTGTTGCTGCTGTAGCATCACAAGCAATTGATGTGTAGAAACCTGTGGCTGCGGAGGCGAGAGGGATGCAGCTTGAGCTTCCTGAGCCGCTAACGCCGCCGCCATGTACAGCTGCTGCTGCTGTTGCTGCTGCAGCTGTTGTTGTTGTTGCTGCTGATGTTGCTGCTGCTGCTGCTGTTGCTGTTGCTGCCGTAAGGCGGCAGACATGGCCACCAGTGCATCTGCAGCGGTGGCTATGGACGCGGGCGTCGAAAGCCCACCCGAGTCCGACAGTGCCGTGAGCGCCGCCGGCGACGTAAGCGCCAAGTGGTCGGCAGCCGTCGTCGTCGCTCCCGGCGGCGGCGCCGCTGCGTAAAGCGCCGCCACGGCCTGCGGAGTCAACAGAGCTGTGGCAGACGTCGGCACCGCCCCCAAGCCGCCCGCCGCCACCGTCGCGGCGGCGGCGGAGGAAGCGGGGGAGCCCGCAAGGGGGCTAGGGGATCTTCCAGTCGCGGTCAACGGGCCCGCAGGCGCATGCGCCGTCTGAAACGGCTGCAGGGCGGTCGCCGCCTGTAGCGTCATGTCCGCCGCCGTCGCCGTCGCTGGCGCCGCGGCGGAGGCGAAACCTGCCGCTTCCGCTGCTTGAGCAATAGCAGCACTCAGCAGCTGTTGCTGAGCTTCTAACTGGCGCTGTTGCTGCTGCAGTTGCTGCAGTTGCTGCATCTTACGCCCGCTTTCCTCTTGCTGCTGCTGCAGTTGTTGCTGCTGCTGCTGTTCTTGCTGTTGTTGTTGTTGTTGTTGTTGTTGTTGTTGTTGTTGCTGTTGTTGTGGCTGTTGCTGCACTATGATGATGGGTGCGGCCTCAAGCAGGACTTGTTGCCGGGGCGGTGAGCGCGGCGGCGATGGCAGCGGTGGCAGCGAGTGTTGATGCTGCG